CAGCTTTTTGCCAATCCACAGCCACATATCCCAGTCAAATAAATTAGAAATCAGCAAACGTCTGGGTGCCACTTATAGAGTGAAAAAGAAACCTCACAACAGAAAGTGAAAAAGATACATTTTGGAAAACTGGCTATCTACTCAGAAAATCCCATGGTGTGAAACAGAGTAACAGTGTTTAGGATTATTCCACTGGTTTCCAGGGGCCAACTGCCCAGCACTCAAGAGAAGTCAAGGCTGGAAGACAGCTGTTCCCCACTCAGCAGGACGCTCTGCAGACCCACTGTGACTCCTCACTTCCATACACCCTACCCCGCCCTGCCTCAGAAGCAGGGGAGTGCAAGGCTTCCGCTCGCCGCCTCCGCAGTGTGCTCCTGTCCTGCTCCCCTCACAGGTGATCACAACAACACCCGCTGCTAACAGCTCCTCATTTCGATGTGATCTTTTTCGCTTACCCCCAATTCCACTCCTTGGTTCCTGCTCCCATATATCCCAGTCCCCATGACAGGAGGCTCTATACAGAGAGAAACACCATGTCCACCCTGGCTCTCCGCTAACACATGGGCAGGGATCTGGGGTGCAGGTTAAGAGATTTGCCAGGCTGTATGCAAATGTGGAATGTTCAACAAATCAATGGAATACTTGAAGTCCTAAAATGCGGATGGGAAAAAGCAACTGTTGTCAGATGCCTACTTCGGCTTCATTTCATTTCACTCCTAGTATTCCCAGCCTTACCTGGGGACCCATCAAGAGCTTCTGACTTGGGGTGGAGGGTATAGCTCAGAGGTAGAGTGCCTGCTTACCATACATGAGGTCCTGGGTTCAATCACCAGCACCTTCATTAAAAATAAATAGAGGAGCTTAACTACTTCTCCTCTAAAAATAAACAAAAACATTAAAGAAAAAAAAAAAAAGCTTCTAACTTTCTGAAGGTCATGTGTACCCCTGTGCAGCTGGGTCTCTCTTCCAGGATTAAAAGTATTTTTGGTGGTGGTGGTTAGGGTCAGAGGAGGAGGTGAGGGTCAGAGGAAGAGGTGAAGGTTCCTGAGAAAGGAGGAACAAGAGGTAGCAGATAGCCCGAAACCAGGGACAGAAGATCTAGTCACTAGGCCACAGCACTTAACACCTCTGATCTTGCTTTTGCTCACCATAAAAGGAGATTTAAAATGCCTGTTCTGACCACTTCTGAGAGAGAAGGGAATAATATAATCAGTAAAAAAAAAAAAGTTGGAAAATAAGGAACGTTTTTATGTCAGTAGCAAAATGTTATTATTTATAATGTGCTCCAGCTCATTCATAGGGACCAGTATCCAAGCTATCTGGGCATGAAAGCATATTTTGGAAGTCATTAAGTTAAGTGCCAGTAAATCTAATGTATACAAAAATCTGAAAGCATCTTAATGTTTTGCATATAGAAATGCTTGAGATTCAGAGCAAATTCAAAGCTGGACAGTCTAAGAATAAAAGAGCCATCCCATCCACTGGAAGGGCTAGGTAGCAGCTTCTGGTTACGGAACCAGAAACTCTCAGGCTCCAAATAAAACATAAAACACCACCACTTGTATTCTTTTATAAAACTGCAAAAATAAACAAAATAAACAAAAATATATTTACACTTGCCCCAAAGACAAAGGGTACTTGAGACCTAATGGATATTAAATCGGTTTACAAACTGTGATGCACTGTATGAAAAAGTTCTCATTTCGGGATAACGCATCCAACAGAGAGCACAGTATACAGTATGTGGCCATGAATGTTAATTCCCTTCCCGCTTCCATGCCGTTCTCTTGTTCCTCTATGTATGTGAATCAGTTACATTACTAAGCTAACAATGTAACTGAGGTATTATGAGTTTCATAATGTAACTGAGAATCTGACTTTTAGCAAGGGAGGTGGGTCTTAGAAATTTAGGAATTGAAACTGAATGAATAAAAATTTAAAAAATTCTATTACATCAATTGTTTAAACATTTTATCATCACTGATTAAAAACATTAAAAAAAATTAAAAATTTATTGTCAGACAATTCAGACTCACCACAATGTGTGGTCTCTGTCAGGCAGTCACTGTCACAGTGCAGCTTGACTGTCTTGCAGACAACTTCAGTAGTATTTTTAAATTGGCAGAGGCAGCAGGTCCGACGGCTAGGTAAGATTCTATAAATGCAAACAGAGAATTAAATTAGTGGTAAAGGAGTGACTTGAGTAGGGAGGCAGGCCAAGGCCACCACAGGGCAGTGAAGAAAGGAGTTCTTAGGGCACATGGCCTGGAGAACTGGACAGGCACCAGTTGGCCAATTGCTGCTCTTAACTGTTGTAAATAAATACAGAGGACAGAAGTGTCCAACAGAAGGGTAAGGATGGCAGTGGGTGTTGGTGAGCCTAGGAAGAAGGTGACAGGGATTAGAATTGGGTGACACTGATCTGTAGTTTAATTCAGAAGTATCTCCTCCCAACCCTAAAGTCTCACTTTGGGTTGAGAGTGCATAGGAAGAGGGCAGACTTCCAGGAAGAGTCTGAGTAAGTCCCCAGCTTCTGGAATCCCTTTCTTAATTTCTAGTTGTGTGTAGGAAATGTATTAGAAATTACTCTGGGGATTAAAAAAACACTGTGGTTAAATAATAACATCACATTCACCAACTCTGGATAACCTAAGCATTCAAGAGAAAAACGAGGTAAAACAATTATATTAAAGAAAAGCATATGAGTTCATAGTAATACTCAAAGTCGGGGGAGCACTTCTTTACGGAACAATGCTAACTAATAATGTAGAAGGACAGAGAGAATTAGGGAAGTGCCATTTTGCAACTACCAGTGAGACACTCAATTCAGAATGAAATTATCATTGATGCAGACTTGGGTGAAGAGTGAAAGTAGGATCTTCACTGATTCCAAACTATCACCCCATAGAATATTTATTAATTACCAAGGGAAAAGATAACTTTACAATGGAGAGATACGAAGATACCACTTTAATCAAGTGGTCAAACTTAGCATCAGGCAACCTGAAGTGATGAAGTAGGAAGGATATATCACCAGGATGTCTATTCTTCCTCAATGCTTGCTTTGAATCTAATTAAGACATAGACAAATTCAGATTGTGGGGCAATTTAAAAAAACTGGCTTAGGCTCTGCAAAAATGCCAATGTCGTAGAAGACCAACAACGACAAAAAACCAGTAGAGAAATGTTCTAGGTTAAAGGAAACAAAGACATGACATGCAATACCTAATCTTCGATTGGACCCTGTATCTAAACAGATTTAAGAATGTTACTGACTTCTGGCCCAGATGAAGTAACGGAGATATTTAACCTCCTATCTGAAACAGTGTGGGGGAGGGGAAGATTAAATATATGAAACAACAGTTCTCCAGAAATTGGACCTCTTGCAATAAAGTTGAGTCATCCCCAAGAGATGGGAAATAAAAATGGAGTGACCCCTATGACTCCTCTAGTTTTACTTCTTTCAGAGAGTTTCCAGGTCATGGTACAGGGAGGAGAGACTCAGACAGAAACAGGAGAACTCCCTGACTGAGGAATTGGAAGAGTCCAGGAAAATCAAGGTGACTAGAGTTCACAAAGCACAGCACTAGAGAGAAAAGAGGTACACAGACAAAGCACTCTGGAGACATGCAGAGGGATCTCTTGAGTATTCAACAAAGTACTGGTCAGTGCATGTGTGTGAGGAGTTACTTGAGGCCAGGAAAAGAACCACATGAAAGGATGAATGATAATAACTGGATGTGACAGTGTTGGTCTACAAAAAAACTACTGAAACTAATAAATGAGTTTATTAAATTTGCAGAGTGCAAGGCCAATGTACCAAAAACTAATTTCTCTCAACAAATAATCAGAAATTAAAGTTTTAAAACACTACTTACAGTAGCATTAAAAGTATAAAATACTTAAGAAAAACTCTGACAAAAGATGTAGAACATCTGCACACTGAAAATTACAAAATATTGCTGGGAAAAGTTAAGACCTAAGTAAATGGAGAGGTATAACATCTTCATGGATCAGATGATTCAATATTGTTAAGATGTCAATTCTTCCCAAATTGATTTACAGATCTAAATCCCAGTAGGCTTTTCAATAGAAAGGGACAAGCTAATTCTAAACTTCACATGGAAATTCCTAGAATAACTGAAACAACTATGAAAAAGAGCAAAGTTGGAGAACTAACACCACCTGATTTCAAGACTTATGAAGCTACATTTTCAAGATATTCTGATATGAGTGGAAAGATAGACAAAAAGATCAAAGGAACAAAATATAAAGTCCAAAAGTAGAGCAATATGGACAAACTGACTTTTAGCTTCAAAGGCAGTTGAGTAGAGAAGGAATAGTCTTTTGAACAAATTTTGCTGGAACAATTGAATATCCATATAAAAAAAAATTCAATCCAAACCATATACATAAATGAACTCAAACTGGTTCAAAGATCTTTACATAAAATCTAAAAGTATAAAACTTTGAGAAGAAAATGGGAAATTTTTTATGACCTTGACTTAAACAAGATTTCTTAGACACAACACCAAAAACATTGTCCATTAAAAAAAAAACAGACAAATAAGACATGATCATTTAAGAATTTCAGCCCTGTGAAAGACTCTTGAGAGAATGAAGTTAAATCACAGAATACTTAGCAAATTACATATTGAATAAAGGATTTGTTTCCAGAGTATATAAAGAACACTCAAAACTCAATCAAAAATATAGACAAAAAATTCAAAGATACATAGATGGAAAAGAAGCATATGAAAAGATGTTTGGCATGATTAATCACTAGGCATGCTACACTGAGATGCCACTACGTAACTATTAAACTATCTAAAGTTAAAAATAATGATCATAGCAAGTGTTGGCAAAAATGTGGAGAAAATGGAACTCCCGTACACTGCTGGTAGAGATGTAAAATGGCCGGACAATCATGGAAAATAGTTTTTTAATTTAAACATACACCTACAAATGATCCAGCCATCCTACTGGCAGGTATTTACCCAAGACAAATGGAAGTATACATACATAGCTAATAGATTAAAATTTTTCTTAAAACCTGAAATACAAGGATCAGGTAAAGCTGTGGAGCAACTGCAACTCTCTTACACTGCTAATGGGAATGCAAAATGGTACGGTCACTGTAGAAAACAGTTTAGCAGTTTCTTAAAAAGTTAAACATGCACTTAGCATAGGATGCAGCAATCTCATCCTTAGGTATTTTGTCCCAAAGAAACGAAAACATATATTCACACAATGTATGTTTACACATACATGAGGGGTTTTAGCGGCTTTATTCATAACAGCCAAAAAAACTAGAAACAATTCAAATGTTCACCCCCTGATGAATGCATAAACAACTGTATATCCACACATCTGGACCACTACTCAGCAATAAAGAGAAATGAACTACGGACAGGTGTAACAGCATGGATGAATCTCCAGAGACTGGCTAAGTGAAAGAAGCCAAAAACAAAAGGCCACATACCCTGTGACTTAACTTACAAGGCATTCTGGAAAAGGCAAAGTTATAGGGACAACAATCAGACTGCTGGTTGCCAGGGCTGGTGGTGGGAGGAGGGGACTGACCTCAGAGGGACATGAGGTGACTTTTGGGGCTGCGAAGTTTTCTATATCTCAGATGTGGGGGTGGCTATATAACTTCACGTTTGTCAAAACACAGCAAACTCTGTAAAGAGTGAATTCTACTATATGAAAATTATGAAACTTATACAACAATAAACCTGACTTAAGGAAATTTATAAAAAACAATTAACTGAAAATAAATGTAATAAAAGTCAACTTACAGTTTTTCCAATTCAAGGCTCATCATGAGGATTCTTTGAATTGTTGTAAGTGAGACGTGTGTTTTTCCCAGGTCTCTGAAGGAAAAGCCCACACAGGCATGATAGAAACCCAAAGACAAAAATTCTACACTTAAGAAGGTAATTAATATGTGATTATTTCAGTTCTGGCTTCTTACTTGCCACAGACAATAATCCCAGGGAGCTCTTATTGAAGAAATTTAAATTTATTTGCATCATTAAATTACTGACCTTGGTGCTGAACAGGACCATCTTTTTCTTTTTTCTTTTTTTACCATTATCCTATCTCTCAATCTTAACTGCATCCACCTCTCTTGATTACTTTTTTTTTTTTAATAATGTACACCTTATTCCATTTTGCTTTCTGGGATAAATCTTATTTTTACGTGTTTGATCTCTGTAAGTGTTTTTCAACACAATTTTCTTCCTCTGCTGGCTGTCTTACCCATATACATCCTTTCTTAATCCTTTTATTTACCAATAACTCTTTCCTTAATAACCCAGTTAAAATTTAAATTATGACTTCTTAGCCAAAATCCTCAATCTCTGATGAAAGTGAAAAAGAGCAGAAATCAATTCAAGAGCCCATAAGACTGCTGCAATACTTACAAATATCGTAATGCTGGCAATTTAAAAAGATGAAGAATCTTCAACTGTTGTCAAAGGATTATGACTGAGAATTCTGAAAAATAGAATGACAGTAAAATTATCTGCATCTTCAGTAATGTCCATGAAAGTTTATATTCGTTTTTTTTGGTATGCAACTTAAAGGTAAAAAAAAAGTCATTTTCTGAATTTACCTATAAGTCACCCTTAGAATTTGTAAAGCACTCTTCATTTGGGAACTACCCAGGTGTGTAGATGATAAAGTGGAGAATAGAAAGAGAAAAAAAATAGAGGGGGAAGTGGATAGCAAAGAAAAACATATGCCAAAGAACTTTTTAGGTCAAAAGCCCTAGAAGGGACTATGCTGGTAGGAAGCCCTTCCTCTGTAAGAAATACTATTTCTAGTGTCCTCCATAAATGAAGGCATTTTTCTTTCATCTCTAGAAATTTTTTAAATTGCATGTTTTAAACTACCCAGTTAAAGACAAAAGTGGGACCAATCCCTTGCTTCTGGAGCTGAAGAGAAAAATACAAGAGGAACTGGGGAGACCCACACTCCCACCGCACACTCCCATGTGTGTTCTTCTATCACACCCTTTGCTACCGTGTGTGGGATCACTTGCTTACTTGTCAGTCTCCTGGATTGTTAGCTCCATGAGAGCAAGGACTATACTTTATTGTCATTGCCATCTCCGTGCCTGACACAGTGCCTACCTAGTATTAGGTACTTAAGAAATGTTTGTTGAATAAATACCATTTTGTTTATATATCAACAAAGTTACAAATTCATTTTCTGAACAAATATTTATTCCAAAATGCTGGAATAGATTTTCTTCTCAATTCTTTGAAACAAACAAGAAAAAGAAAATAATTTTAAAAACCCAAAAGAAACAAGAAGAAAATTTGCCTTTAGGTTAGTTAACTCTATTCAAGAATCATTAGTGTACTTTTGCAGAATATTATAAAGATCATCACAACTAACACCTTTTGGATTGCCAGGTACCTATGATCAGGATTTAATATTTAATCCTCACAGTAACCTTATGCGATAGATAATATTATTATCCCATTTTACAAATGAGGAAACCAAGGCACAGAGAAGTTATATAACTTGTCCTAACTCATCAAGCTAGTAAGAAGCAGAGCTGGAATTTGAACTCAGTCCTGACTCCAAATCCTGTGTTTAACCTGTATTTTAAAAAAGAAGAAAAAAAATAATACAACGAGTGTGTTTAAAATAATTTATTACTTTAACCTTAATTTTTAGGGCACTAAATATAGAAATACCTTTTCAAATTTCATCTCCCAATCTGGGAGAGCCTCTATGAGAATCACACTTTCTCTTTTATTTCTTTTCTTCAATTATCTCCCATGATTAAATATTTAATTAGCCTATGGTCACTGAGGCGCTAGAGATTTTATACCATATTGCAAGCTAATCACTAAAAACGGTGGAGTGAGGACATCTGAAAATTCATCCCTCCATAAAACAACAACAAAAAACTTGCAAAAATGGTCAGAATCAACTTTCTCAGAACTCTTGAAATTTAACCAATGGGCTTGTGGCAATCTGGGGAGCAATTTAAGAAAAACACATTAACTTCTGTCAGGACAGTGAGATCTGTGTTGCTTTAGCTTGTCCTAGACCTTTGCTCTCCATGACAGTGGGAGCCTTCAAACAGAGCCCACATCCTAATAACCAAAACCTTCCCCAACTTGGGAAAGGAGACAGTCACCCACATCAAGGAAGCGCAGAGAGTTCCACACAGGATCCACCCAAAGAGGAGCACACCAAGTCACATAGTAATCAAAGTGACAAAAATTAAGGACAAGGAGAAAATATGAAACTTAGCAGTACCAGTATCTCCTCAGAGAATAAAGAAATAAGAGTTACCTCTCACCACCAAAACACAAAGTTAAAAATGCTGCTTTATTAATTAATTAGCTCTTGGCTCGTCTTTGAGGTGGACTTCACATTCAAAATAGACTCTAGCACACCTCTCACTTGTTCACCTGGGGTTTGTCAATAACATAGAGGTTTCATTCAAGAAACCGAGTTATAATTACCTGAAACCCAGGCTTTGTGGGCCTTGAACGCCACCTACTTTGGAAAAATCCTGTCTAATAAAAACATGCAAAGTTGTGAACACTAAAATTGCT